TAATTATAGTAGAGTATACCCCAAAATCCTGTTCTAACTATTACGGCCCCTACATTACTAAAAATATGGGCCACTTTACTTGCTCTATACTTCTACCAAGGTGCTACTAGTGTTCCTGGGAATGTCTTTTCAGAGAGTCTCGTGACGATTACAACCGTTACGGTCGAGCTAGTGTGTAAACCAAGGAGCTGCAATCATTCGTCTTATCATCAGTACCAAAATTATCGGACAAAAGCTTGTCCTCAGGGTCGTCGAATGGTCCAACCTCAGGGATCTGCACCATGTTTCAGCATTCAGGGTTTGGCGTCCCCTTCGAAGCTGCTCTGTGAATCCAAGGCTGGTAGACTCTGCGGCCGCGCAGCTGCACGAGGGGATTCTGTCACGCCATGTGCTGGTTTTGGTTTTGCTGGGCCTGGTGCTTTTCACGGTCCGTTAAGTTCGTAGCGGCCTGGATCGACAGTTTATGTTTCAGTGGCTTCGGCCGTTTTTCATCTGCCTCGCGACGGTGGATCCTATATAGTCGCCCTAGTCCTAGTCCTAATCGTTTGCTTTTCTGATTGTGTGGCTCGTGATGACATGGACTTGCAGATGAACTCACCAAGTTCCTTGACTGTAGGATCTTGGGATGCCGGGAGCATCCCAAGCATCGCGGGAACCGATGACGGAATGTTGCCGCTCCAACTATACATTTGTCTGGGCAGTTTTCTACTAAAAGGACCCATGTGTACAAGCCCCTGTTGATGGATCATGGTTGCACCCGTTCGTGTCCTTTGTAGGCCACCTCTTTTCACACATGTCTTTGTGGTGTTTGCCAACATGTGCTTGTCTGTGTGTGTGGATTGGATGAATTTGAACTTGTTCTCCACTGTAAACGAAACGCGATGTTGCAGAGATGGAACGTGTGAAGCGTGGCTGGAGGGGAGAGGGAGAGAGAAGGAGAAGCCCCTTGCCCCAAACGCCGAGCAAGCAAGCAAGCAAGACAAGCAAGAGAGGGAGTGTGAGTGAGAGATGCTGCAGGCGAGGTTGACTGGAACTCGCTGGCGAAAAGTGGCTGGAAGCTTAGTGGCCCGCTCCAACCCTCTTGCTGCATTGCCGGTCCTGTTGGGGAAGGGCCATAGTATTTACCGGGACCCGGCCCAACCCGAGACCCTGAATTTGGCGCTCAGGTTGCAGACAGCCTGCGCAGTCGCGGCGGCCGACGATTCTTCAGGGCGCTGCTGCGAAGCGAAGCAGACATTGGGTTGCAAAAGATCCTTATGGTCGATTGTCAGGGTTTAGAGTTTATGATCGAATGATCGTGTTGAACTGGAGGCAGTTGGAGAAGTCCTGGTACGAGGTACCGTGGTCGTGGTTTTAGCAAGTTGAAATCAACCTTGTCACATCTACGGTACTTGACCAGGTGCTTACACCGACACAGATATCCATGACTCGAACAGTGCCAACTGTCTGGGACATGTTGCGTTTCATTCTTGCAAGTTTGTAGTGTAGTTGCGGCTGATCTTTTGTGAGGTTGCATTATCTAAACGTCTTGAGTAGGGTCGGTAGAGATTTCCAACCCATTTTGTATAAGTGGCTTCTCTGCTGGATAATATTGACCGTGTTGGGAATCCTTGTCGCATGTTGCAGCTGTCTTTTTCAAAATTATTAACAGTGTGTGCGTCAGTTTGAACAGTCGTTGGGTGTTGTCTTTGAGCTCGGTCGGATGTCCACTACTGTTTGTTGCCTGTGTCCATCTGTATTGGTAGTCATCATCGCCCCGAGTTTCTGGCACTTGTCACGCAGTTTGCTGAGCTCAGCGAGCCTGTGCGGATCCATGTTGGGTGTACGACGACCATGATCCTGACCATGGCGACTCCTCGCGTGAGGGGGTGGGACAACCCAGCATGATCCGTAGGAGGGCTGCAGCAGGGGTCCATGGCCTTTGCGTTCACGAGGTGCCGCTACCGTTCCGGGCTGCGGGCTTCCCTCAACATGAGACCTAAGTTCTGAGCGGTACATGGTGGATTGCAGGGAGGTACATGGCTTCTGACCCGAGCACCCTGAAGCCAGAATTTATCTAGCTTCGGATTGCTCTGAGGCGAAGCTCTGTGGCAGGATCCTCGAAGGCTGCGGACTTGTTGGCCTGTGCAGGGCTCCTTGCCAACCTTACTATCCTGCTACTACAAATACCATGTTGTGATAATGCTGGAGGATGATGGTCATGGAAGATCATCCCTGTGTTTGTTTAACTGCCAGTGTCACTGTCGCTACCGTCTCCCCTCCACCATACCCTCCTCGTTTGCTCCTTTCTTGGCCAGGCAAAGCACCTTCTGAGAGTCGCAGGGCCGAGAAAAAGTCGCGACAGAGCTTGAGGATAACGAGCTTCATGGTGTCTGAGCATTTGAAGGCTTAGAAAGCATCAACTACACGTTGCTTTACTAGACCTTCTGTGTGCCGTAACTCCGCATGCATGAGCTCCTGGGACCACGCCACAGATCATTTTTGTTCCTGGGGGCTAGTCGCCCATGTTTTCTGGAGGTACAGAGGCTCCACGCGACGCGCTAGGCAAATGGACCCGTCTGCATTGAGTATTTTGGGGCTTCTTTAGGGGACTGAAGTAGCAAGTGGAGAGCCTCAGAGATTTCGGGTCTTGGTTTGGGGGAGAGGGCTTCAGGTTTCTGGGGGAAGGGAGCTTGTGTCGGGGTCACCTTGTCGCAAGGAAGCATGAAGCGAGTTTGGAGTTTTCGGGCGATTGCGCCTTGGGGGTTGAGGACTCTGAGGAGCCTGCATCTTGCACAACCCTTTGGTTGCTTGGGGAATGGAAAGGGCCAGAAAACAAGAGCTTCAGGCCTTGACCGAAAGGCCAGCATTCCAGGAGACACTCGTGGCCCTGTGCCCTAAACCTTCAGGGGAATAAGAGCTGGCAGGTGAAGAATTTGTCTCGGTCATTGCAACGGCCTTGGACTCCGCGTTTCGCCGGGTCGAGGCCGATGCCGCTGTTTCGACATGAAATGTCTGGGCACAGAGGAGGATTCTTCGATCAATCAATCTGTCGCTCTACCATGGTGGAGAGCAACATCAGGTTGAGCCACACACGGGGTTCTGGTTGCGGGTCAGGGTTAGGAGTTTGGACAAACTCGCGCATTGGCAAGACTCCTGGCAAGACAGCAGGAAAAACCCTAAACCCTAAAACGTTCCCTTGGTAATTATTCTGGACATCTATTCAGGCGGAAGGAATGAGGTGATTAAAAAAAAAAGCCGTTCCCTTGAATCTTAGCAGACGGGCTTGGAACGCAGAGATGCAGTCGCGGCAGTCGCGGCAGTTCTCGGCTTCTCGGCTCAAGGCCGGCAAGACCTGAGGAACTTTGGCCTCCGTTGCATCCATGGATACAGTATTCGGAGTCCTTGCAGTGTTGTGTTTATGTTGTGACTCGTGACTTCGTTGGTGTTTCGGACCTTTTCATAGCGATGCCGCAAGCTGCACTGTCGCAGCTGTTTCGAGCTCTGGGCGCGGCCGCGGGGCGCGTTTGCAACTGGATGCATTTCCAGCCAGATGTTCCTGGGTATCCTCAACCAATGTGGAACCAGAGCTTAAATCTGCAATAGACGGCGCGGGTGCTGAGTGCCTGGAGAATCGGGAAGCGGGATGAAGTTGGCATGCAGTTGGGTCCGGGTTTTAAGCACTGTTTGGCACGATTTGGACCGTAGCTCAAGCTCTGCGAAGCCTTCTTGAGGATGCTACCTAGACACAGATCATGAATTCTAAGATTGCTCCCTCCATGCCGGATGTCGAAGAAGCTTTGTGCTGCAAAGTTCGGGCTGGGGCCCGCACTTTTTTTTTTTTTCCTAGCGTTGGCGGTCCCCG